ACTTTTAAATAATTTGGGGCAGTTTTTATAGGAAGAGGATCTGTACTTGAAACTATTTACTGATGGATTCCATTTATAAATCTCTACTACATATCATGATGGGTTATTTAGTTTCTCTGATGTTCAGGAAAATCTGCTAGGGAAATCTTTAAATTTTTGGTAAATAATTGAATCTTGAAAGCTACTCATTTATTCCAGATACTAGTGTGTTTACTTTAAAATATTTGATAAGAAAAATCTGATGTTAGGCAGTATTGAACATTCATGAAGGACTGATTTAAATCTATTGAATTTTATGCATAAAGGGCCATTTAGTTTCTGATAAGTATTTCAGTTAATTACTGTCTTCTGATTCTTTCCATTTTTTAGTTTAGTGATCAGTAAGTACCTCTCTGTCTTGGGAGCTCCCAGTGTTTAACCCAGCCCATGGGAGCCAGTGCCTGTACCTAAACACACACTGTACATTGTACACACTGTGTATCTGTCAGGTCTGTCAGCACTACTGTGTCTAGTTTTGGATCTCCCATTTAAACAAAGTTCTCTAGTTTGTCATAAAAGTGAAAGTAAATCCAGTCATTTTAGATATTTTAAGAAGAATGCTTAGCCGAGAGTAGATGAGACCTAGTTATGCTTCTACAACAAACTCTTCTTTGGTGTAAGTGGTATCATTTAGAAAGAGGGTGGCACATATCCATTGTGAGTTCTAGTGGATGTAATATCTAGGGCTGTCTGATACAGTTATGAACTTCTTGGTGAAAGGAGTGAGTCTTTGTCAATGAAGTACCCCAACATTGAAAAACAGTATGGCAATTGATGTTTAAGAGACTTGTCTCAGCTCAGGCTGCTCTAACAAAATGTCACAGATTGGGTGGTTTAAACAACACTTATTTTTTACAGTTTGGGGAACTGGGAAGTCCAAGATAAGACACTGGCCAATTTAGTTTCTAGTGAGGGCTGTCTTCCTGGCTTGCACACAACCACTTTCTCTCTGTTTCCTCACATAATAGGAGGAGAGAACATGAGCCTTGTAATGAGGGCATTAATCCCATCGTGGAGGTCCCACCTCTTGACCTCATCTGAACCTAATTACCTCCCAAAGGCCCCACCTCCAAATACCCTCATATTGGGGGTTAGGGCTTCAACATAAGAATTTGAGGAACAAACAATTCTTAACAATACTTAATCGTCTTAAGCCTTACTTTTATTATCTTTAAAGATAGGAATAATAATATTCACTCATTCATAAGGTAGTTCTGAGATAATGCATTTTGGTACATAGTCGGGTGCCTGGGTGACTCAGTTAAGCACCTGGCTCTTCATTTCAGCTCAGGTCATGATCTCAGGATTGTGAGATCGAGCTCTGGCTCTGCGCTGGACGTGGAGACTGCTTAGGATTCTTCCTCCCCCTCCATCTGCTCCTCCTCCCCTGCCTTTAAGAAAATAGTTAAGAATTTGGTATGTAGTAAGCTCTTAAAACATCAGTTGCTGCTACAGTGGTGATTAACTTTCCATATTTCAGGGATGTGCTAGAAATGCTTTCGTGTATTTGTTGAAAGACTGGACTAGATAAATACTTTCAGTACTGAGAATCAATGAATGCATGTTTATATTTTCTTTGTGCTTGTGAACCTGAAGATGGAGATGCTGCTCTGTGAAAACCCTGCAGTTCCACATTCCTCTGTCTGTATCGGTATCTTTTTGTCCATCTGCTTTCTGATTATGTATGTATTCTTATTCTGTCTTTCCTATTCTCTGAATTTGTATCTGTCTCTCTCTGCATCCCCTCTTACTCCCTGTCACTGTTCTTGAATTCATTTTCTCTCTTCCACTGTTTTTTTCTCATCATTTGGTCTAATGAATAATTTACAGTGTATATTATTTTACTATATTTTTTTATTCTTTGTTTTATTTCTAAAGGTAGTGTCTTTGGTGAAGTGTATCCCTTAGATGTGACTGGGTACTTAATCATCTGTCTTTCTGCCCCTGTTTAGAGTTACACTTTCACAGGTGTTGAACAGGACAGGTATCAGAGGCCTGAATTTGTTCTCACTTAGCTTTATTATGGCTAGTGCTGGGCTGGACATGTAGGAATGAAGTTTTACGGTGCTAGATAATACTTAAAGAAGAAGCTGTTTAATGTGTCGTGCATGCATACAACAACCAGCTGCTTTCTCACCAGACGTAACAGTGTGGGAGCCCCCTGCCCCAGCTTAGACGGAGTGCCCTTCCTAGCAGAAGTGTGCCCCCTCATTCCTAGGGTGTAGCGAATGTTACAGCGGAAGGACTTCCTTTACTTTTGTTTTCCTAGCCTTCATAATACAGACAGAATTGTTTTATATCTGCTAAGGAAAAAACCAGTCATTTGGTAGCATATATTTTTCTACATTTAGCAACTGGCATTTACACAATAGACTTTCTTATATAACAGCGCATCCTTTAACTATGGTAATTAAAATCATTTTGAATAGATGTAGTTACACTTAATTATGGATCCCATGCTCTAGTTGATGTAAGCTCATACACATTTAGTTTATAACTTGTTTTATGGCTGAATGGAGATGCTAGAAGTTAACATTTTTTAGTTTTTTTAAAGAAAAGAATATGTATAATTGTATAATTATTTATGAAGATTTTAAAAATTTGTAACAAAACTCCTTTTTAAATTGCCATCAGTCAGTCAAGCAGTAATACAAAGATTGACTACTTGGTTGGTGGTTCATGTACATGCTGTGACAAGCAAAAAGCATGTCGTGAACATATATTACTTACAGAATATGAACATGATATGTGCAGGAAATAGATGAGTCTCCATAACAATAGAAGTCGGAAAAGGCAATCACAAAATGTTATATACCATATGATTCCACTTATATAACTTTCTTAAAAATGACAAAATAACAAAAATGAAGAGCAAATTCGTGCTTGTCAGGGATTAAGGAGAGAGTGACAGAAGTGGCTGAGTATGGCTATAAAGGCCAATAGGATGGATCTTTGTGATAATGGAAATGTTCTCCATTTTAACTGAATCAATATTGATATCCCGATTGTGGGATTGCACTAGAATTTTGCAAGATGTTGCCATTTGGGAAACTGGTTTAAAGGATACATGGAATCTCTCTCTATTATTTCTTAAAACTACATGCGGGGGGAAGCAGGCTCCCTGCTGAGCTCAGCGGGGCTCGATCCCAGAACCCCAAGACTATGACTTGAGCCGAAGGCTGAGGCTCAACCCTCTGAGCCACCCAGGCACTCCATATTGATGGTTCATTTGATCATTCCTTTATTCATTGGAGAAATCATTGAATACTTGCCTAATTTGGCCTTGCCAAATGCATTCTCCTAAAACCAAAATCACACCAACTTACAACTTTTGTAAAGGATACTGCTTCATTTAGTAGTCAGTTTAGCAACTAGTTTATATCCACAAAGTTATCTCTTCTATAAATAATTTTGGGGGCCTTGGTAACATTAGCTTTGAAATATTCAAAAAATTTTTCCGGAGTATAATTATTGTAGCTATGCTTAACAGTGTAAATCTGGTGGGTCTTGATTACACATTCAGGAGAAAAAAATGTTTGAGTGGAATCTGGGGACTCCCAGTAGGTAGTCACTCACCTGTGAGGAGTAGGGTGAGTTTCTCTAAAGGCAGATGTCCTGGGAGGCCCCTAAGTTTTCCCAATGGATTAACATTCTTTCTCCCAATTCAGCTTTGGACTTATCTGACAACATAGAATGTGATCTCTGGAAACTATTCTCAGCATGTAACTTTTGAGTTTAAGGCTCCTGAAAAGCTGAGTTTAAAGAGACAACTGTGCTTATGATGAATGACCTAGAGAATAATCTGTCTAAAATAATCTGTTCAGTAAGAGTTAACCTCTGGATTAGCAGAGCTGTGGAGGACCTCTTGTTTGGTCTGTGTCCTACCTGTCCAGAGGAGAATGATTTGCTGAATTGTGCTTGGACATGATACTAGGGGTGGTGTCTAATGAATGAAATGTGGTGGTATTTGATAACTGGAGATGAAATGAACAACCTTGGGACTGAGGAGGAGCTATTTTTTTCTAATTAGAAGTTGAGGGAGATTCAAGGAGACTTCCCCACTGGTCCTCAACACATACTATATGGTGGGCTCCCCAACCTGTGGTCCTAGCTGCAGCTGCAACAGATAATGGGGCCCAGAGGAAGCATTTCCTCTAATCCCTTGGCCCTGGTCAGGTGCATACTCCTTCCTTGACATTGACCCTTTCTGGAGGATCCTTTTCTAGCCTAGTTATCCTGATTTGACTAATTATTGACAACAAGATTAAAACCCTTTTCTGTGCTTTGTAGAACATGAATATATGTTCCAGTGAGTTGTATTCAAGCGTTGAGGGGATTTTCAAAAAAAGTAATGTTATAAATGGTTTAGATCCAGTCTAGCTCACCCAGAGTTTATTTAATCTAGCATGTCTCTGAACCATATTCTACTAATAGTTTTGTAGAAAACTCATCTCTCACTTATTTGTCTTTAGCAGAAGCAACCTGTTTTCTGATTTCTCCTGGAGGTGCTCATTGGTCATTTTTTCTATTTAGCTGCTGTGGTCAGGGTAGATACAGTTGCCCCATATTCCCAGTGATCTTGGGCAAGAGGACAGTGGTGGTAGTCTGGGTTCTTTGGTGGTTCCATGCAGATTATAAGCTTTAGGGGGAAACCACTATGGGCATCTGGCAGGATCTGTGATGATGGAAAAGAAAGGGGAACTTAGGCATGCGTGAGGCCCTGGCTGGGACAGCCTCTTGAGATACACAAGGACCACCTGATTTTGTCCTTGCATGGAAATGTGTAAAAACAGTGGTAGTGTGAGACTAATTGGTTCGAAATCAGCAAGGTTAATAATAATATGTAATATGGTATACAAATGTGCAATGTCCTTTTAATTACTACTGTTTTTTTCTCTGTCATTAGATTCATAAATGCTTTGTTATTATCTCATCTAAAAGTTTTTTTCTTGTCTTTGTAGTTTCAAACCATGAATTATGTGGGACAGCTGGCTGGGCAGGTGATTGTCACTGTGAAGGAACTCTACAAGGGCATTAACCAAGCCACTTTGTCCGGATGCATCGATGTCATTGTGGTGCGACAGCAAGATGGCACCTATCAGTGCTCGCCTTTTCACGTTCGGTTTGGGAAGCTGGGCGTCCTGAGATCCAAAGAGAAAGTGGTGAGTGCAGGGGACAGCTTGTTCTCAAGGAGGGTGAAAGGTTAGATGGTAATAGAATAAATTGTTCTTAGATGCTTTTTGGGCTCCCCGCCCCCCACGGGGGAAGAAGGAAGACACCCGTTTGATGTTGAAGATAATGGTATAAGAAGTCAACCTTTGTGTGTTGTTTTGAGGTTGCTGCTGAGTATAAGCCTTACTGTAGAAAGTCTCCAAGGGGGGCAAAAAAGGCTGAAAATTATCCTGATAGTTCTATTTGTTGCAACCCAGAAGAGCAAAATGGAGAAACTGGAGTTATAAATGGGGAAGGTTAGGTGTCTTCAGAAGGTTTCTTTACCTCATACAGCGCTTTAAACTATTTAGGGGAGGGACACCTGGGTGGCTCAGTTGGTTGTGTCTGTCTTTGGCTTAGGTCATGATTCCAGGGTCCTGAGATCAAGTCCTACATCGGGCTCCTTGCTTAGCAGGGAGCCTTCTTCTCCCTCTGCGTGCTCTTCTCCCTGCTTGTGCACTTGCTATGTCTCTCTCTCTCTCTCTCTCTCTCTCTCTCTCTCTCTGACAAATACATAAAATAAAAAATTTTATAAAATTTTTAGGGCAATACCTTCGTACCAGTTGTGAATGGGATAGATTGATATAGTCAAGAATACATTACATTTATTTAGACAAAATAAATTCCATATTTGTTTTGACAAAGCTGTTAAATCTTCTTTGTATCTAAATTTCGTTAGTAATACCAGGACTTGTCTGCAGATCTTACTGAATGCAAACCTGCAGGCCATAGGCTTGTTGGCTTTTATTTATTTTGGGGAAGATTCATTCAGAAAGAAAATAACTTGTGTTGGTTTCCTTTTTCCTACATTCTCCACCTTCAAGTAATGGAGCAATGAGAAGGTTTGTTAATGTATTTGATGTCAGTCAAATTAGAATGCTGAGCTGGTAATAAAACCTTGCAGATATATAGTATTTTTCCTTTCTAGTCTTATCCCACATTATCTACCTGAACAATTTAGGGAGATTTTGTCAGGATTTTAAAGCACAACGAAAGATCCACACCATATTGGGGCACAGAACTATATGTTAGAGGACCACCGGCATAAGTTGGAAACATCTATTTCCAGATGTTGGCTATTTTACATAGGTGATCTTATTCCTTAAAATAGAAATTCTCTCTATTTTAATTAAACTTCGGTTGTTTTGAGAATGGAAGAAACTTTTTTGTGGGTTTCACACCCCTAGATATTCTCCCTCCCTGCCCACTACCAAAACACATCTTCTTTTCTAGGTGTTATAAATCAGTTCACTAGAGAGCCACGTTGCAGTGTGGCAGTGTTTGTGTGGTCTGGCCTCTGTTCAATCATCCTTTGGAAACCAAAAGCAGTCACACAGTTCATTTAGTAACTTGGAGACTTTCCATTGCAAAACGGTGTTCAGCCACAGTTGGGCTTCTTGGAATTTTTTATTTCTTGCCAGTAAAACTAACCTATAGTACTTTCAGACTTTATCTGCTCTGGGAGAATCTGTACCAAACTGTTAAGCACTGAAATTTCCCATTAGCTGTAAAAGGATCTATTCATTAAATGGCTTATATGGCACTTTTGTTTGTTCTTCTGTGGTCAGAGTTTTTCATCAGCAGATTGGTTAAGTCTTCTGGCCTTTCAGAATGGAATCTGCAGGCTGTTGTATGTGTAGCATTTGTGTATCTATAAATGGTGTCTGGACAGACAGCATACCTCTTTCTACATGCTGTATGCCTCCAATTAAGATGTAGTACAGGGGCACCTGGGTGGCTCAGTGGGTTAAAGCCTCTGCCTTCAGCTCAGGTCATGATCTCAGGGTCCTGGGATGGAGCCCTGCATCAGGCTCTCTGCTCAGCGGGGAGCCTGCTTCTCCCTCTCTCTCAGCCTGCCTCTCTGCCTACTTGTGATCTCTGTCAGATAAATAATTAAAATCTTAAAAAAAAAAAAGATGATGTAGTACAGTTTCTGTACAAGGCTGCCCAAATGATTGTGTTAAATACCTTGTCACACCCCTGGATTTTAATATGAATCTGTCCATGAGACACAGGAAAAGAGGAAATTACTTCTTTTGCACTAGTGTCCCAGAAATCCAAAGGATGTGTTTGGGAGGAAATCTGGCTATTTAACAGCTTTCCTGTGACAGTAAAACCAAAACCATGTCTCCCTTGATATACTCAGGCAATTTGGATTAACTCTTTGTCTTATTTTAGGTCAGTTTGGATTAGGGAAAGCTATTCATTGATTTTAAACTAAGACCCCATTTACGGTGACACCTATGAAATGGACTTGAAATCATAATCATCTTTAACCCTCTGGTTAGGGGGTGATATATAATAATTTCCCCACTGTCATTGGTATGTTCTTGTTTGATAGAACACCAATACTCCCAGTATGCTTCATAACTCAAGACTTGAATTTCAGAAGGTAAACCTGAAGTTGGTATTTTTTAAATATTAATTTTGTTGATTTAACACAAAACTAACAGTTATTTATCAAGATTAAATAATGTATTAGACAGGAAGTTTCTATTGTGGGTGACAAAAATCCATCTCGCACCAGCTTAAGCAGAATTTATTGGCTTCTATAACTAAAGTCCAGGGGCATTTGAATTAAAATGGGCTTTATTTAGAGTCTGAGGGTATTATCAGAACTCTGTCTCCTCCCACCTTTCAACTCTGTCTCTCTTTGTGTTAATGCAAGAGGGCTACAATACCTCCAGGTTTACTTCCCAGGATCTCAGCAACCATAGTAAAAAGAGAGCCATTTCTGCCTCCAGAAGCTTCAGTATTTAGTCTCCCTGTCAGACTTATCAGTCTCCCTGGTCCTGTAGCTGGGGTGGAATATATGGATTGGCTTGGCACGGACAGCAACCTTATCTCCTCACTCTGAAGCCACACCTAAAACTGGTGGTCTGAAATAGAGGATGAATAGATTCCCAAAAGACATACCTAGAGATAGTCTTACCTGAAGAATGGCGTGCCAGAACAAGAGTCTGCTACAGCCAGTATTTCTGTTTAACATTTTATTTATTTTTGGGAGGGAGGGAGAGAGAGCGAGAGCGGGAGCATGAGCAGAGGGAGAGAGAAAATCTCAAGTGGGCTCTGGACTGAGTGTGGAGCCTGACATGGGTCCCAATCCCAGGACCCTGTAATCATGACCTGAGCTGAAATCAAGAGTTGGCAACCTAACTGACTGAGCCACCCAGGCACGCCTACAGCCAGTATTTCTAAAACGCAAATCAGTTCTATTTCAACATCTGAGTCATATATATTGAGTAAGATTAAGCCACAGGGTAGGAAGTATGACTATATAGATAGGAGTATTGTTTTAGATACCAGTTTACCAAGGAGTAGTACATCAAAATGCCAGTTTTCCCACTGCTGTCGTCTTTTTCTCCATGATCCTATCCAGGATCCCACACTGCTTTCACCTGTATTCTCTGATCATTCTCTCTTTCCTTACAATCTTGACTTTTGAGGAGTACAAATGGTTGTTATATATATTGTGCCTCAGTTTGAATTTGTCTGATGTTTTCTCATTGGGGGAAGAGTAATGTAGAGTAAGGGTGTGCCCCTCTCAGTGCATCATCTCAGGAGGCCCATCATGGTGCCATGTTTCATTACTGGTGATATTGACATTGTTCCCTTGGTTAATGGTGTCTACTAGGTTTCTTTACGGTAAATTTATTTGTGGGAAGAAAGAAATTTGTGGGAGACTGTGCAAATACCATTTTTCATCATACTTCCATGAATTTTACCATACACTGATGAATTTTCCTGCAACAATTATTACTGTGGTGTTTACCAAATGATTTTCTGTTTCCATCCTTCCTACTCTGTTTATTAATTGAAATTCTACTGTATCAAAGAGCTATCTTTCTCTCTTGTTTACTTATTCCATTATTTATTTAGATCAGTATGGATTTCTGAGTATTAATTTTACTCTATGGGTTCTAATCCATTATTATCATTATTTAGTTGCTCAGATTGTCCCAGGTTTGGCAATTGGTAGTTAGCTCCTTCAAGTTGAGTCCTTTTGAAATGCTACCATCATTTTTTGAGTACTTCCTTACTTTCTGGCACCATAAGATATTCCAGAAGAATCTACTTTACCTCCATCAGCCCTGGAATTATTTTGTTTCTCTGAGGAATGGTGGTTCCTCTTATTAGAGAAAAGTATCTAGAAACAAAGAATCTGGTCACTAGGAGTGCTTATTACTAACTGAGGTATCTTTGCTTCTAGGCCCTGTCAGTGGGCAGAGCTGGAAAAATCGACATACGTAGATACATGCACCTACGTATATCTGTAAAAATCATGAGTTTTCCCACTGATTCTTATCCGTCTCCAGAAGCTTCCTCCTCTTCTCCTTATTTGTGACTTCTTTCTCTGACAGTGAGAAACATGCCTCTTACTATTACAATATCTTTACCTATTCAGTTCTAGAATACACATAAAATAATTTCAGAACTGCTAACTCATATCTCTGATTTTTTTTTTTTTAAATACTAACTACAACATTTGTTTATAGTTCTTTTTGTCTTTAGACTTAAAATAGTCAAAATACCATTTTCCACTTAGGTTAGTTTTCTTCCTTACCCTGCAGTGTGGTTATGTTACTTACATATAGGATTTTTATAACAAGCATTTTGACAACATTTGGCAGCTAATGACCTTCAGTGACTTGATGTGACCAGGAGTCAGTGTCGAAAGGGATAAATTGGTCCTCACTGGGAAAGAAACCTAGTGGACCATGCAGCTGTTCCCACCATAAGGGCCTTGTAAAGCTAAGTACACTTAGATTGTGGAGTGCTGTATTTATACCTGTATTATATTTTTATATATTTTAGTTATATCCCCTGAAGCAATCTAAAACTGGAGTTTACAAGTTTATCTGTAAGAGTTTGAAAGTTGGGGGTCACCTGGGTGGCTCCTTCAGTTAAGCATCTGCCTTTAGCTCAGGTCATGATCTTGGGGTTCTCGGCTCAAGCCCTGTGTCAAGCTCCCTGCTGAGCAGGGAGTTTGCTTCTCCTTCTACCCTTCCCCTGCTCATTCTTGCATGCTCACTCACTCTCTCAAATAAATAAATACAAATCTTCTTTTAAAAAAAAGAAAGTTTTGAAAGTTGGTATTTGTTTAATATTATAAAGTATTTAAAGGCATTTATTCAGTCAACAGAAGAAAACTACATAATTTTTAAGTGTAAGTAGTATTTTAATATTATATCTATACAGTTCTTTGCATGGTAGTACAGATCATTAAAATGACTGGGCAAGCTGAAACCATGCAAAACAAACTTAATAACTGAGAAAAATTAGGATTTTTCCCATGATTTTTATAAGTTTTTGTCAAAACTTTAAAAAATTCTGTTATAAATGTATAAGAAAATGAAAAATAATGAAATGATGTTTAGTACACTGCAATTTAAAACATTAAAAAAATGGAGAACTAGGGCACCTGGGTGGCTCAGTTGGTTAAGCGACTGCCTTCAGCTCGGGTCATGATCCCAGGGTTCTGGGATCCAGCCCCAACATCGGGCTCCCTGCTCAGAGGGAAGCCTGCTTCTCCCTCTCCCACTCCTCTGCTTGTGTTCCCTTTCTCATTGTATGTGTCTCTCTCTGTCAAATAAATAAATAAAATCTTAAAAAAAAGGAAAACTAAAGTGTCATATTTCTTTGTAAAATAACTTACCAAGACTAGTTGGTCTGAACTGTGTTTGTCCTCTTGATTTGAAACTTGTAATATGGAACAAGCATCTTTTCTTTGTCTTGGCAAATTATCATATTCTTTTCTGAGTGTGGATTAGCTTTCAGGTTTTCATCTCTGGAACATTTGGTATCACGAAGTATATCTGTGAGTTCCTTCAATGTGAAGTGTTTTTCCTTTGTCACTTCCTCTGGGCCATCTTCATCCTTTATTCACAACACTTTCCTCCTTTATGGATAAGCTCACCTTCACCAGGTTCCTCTGGCTGCACATCTTGAGTCTTTTGAATAGCAACAGGGTCACCATTCCTGCAGTCAGCGATTTTCTTCTGTAACTTGACACTCAGTTTGAATTTTACTTTCAGTAATACTACTTTTTGTTAGGCTAGGTTGCATTTTGATCTTGGCCAGTTTCCTCTTAATTACCCCTTTTTATAAAATGTCATAAGGGTTTATCAGTGAGAGACAAGGAGACAACTACAACTATAAGCTTTGCTGTCTGTGCCTGAACTGAATAACATATATGCTTCAGCTGGTCACCAGCAGACTTTGGAAAGTGACATGATGGATTATGGATCATGATGGGCTTCTGTTTTTATGTAGGGATATGTTGACAGAAGAGCAGCCAGTAACGTTTGTGTTTTATGCAGTTACAGTTAACATACCACAGTAACTGAAGTCTGTTTATCTGAACCATGCCAGGTGAGGCCTGTCTGTGCTAGAACCCTGAAAGTGCTCGAATGTTTTTCAGCAATTGTATTTCCCCTATTTTATAGGATTTGGGAAATTAAGTAAAATATTTTATGGCATAAAAATAAATGATATAACATTTTCTTTTAGTCCCTTCTTACCCATCCCCTTCCTCCCCAGGTCTGTTTAATTTTTTAGAGTAGGACAGGTAGCATTGTTTCTCTGGGACTGTCAGTCTAGGAACCTCAGTACTAAATTTGGCTTGGTTAGGGTCAGTGAAAGTTTTCATACTAAATCACACTTTGTTTCTCCTCTTAGATTGATATAGAAATCAATGGCGATGCAGTGGATCTTCACATGAAGTTGGGTGACAATGGGGAAGCTTTCTTTGTGGAGGAGACTGAAGAGGAATATGTAAGTTCTAGTAGGTTACATCCACTCTACACATCGTATTCAGACCTCCAGGACCTTTCCCAAAACAGAAATGTTCAGCAGTTTTCATGGTTATAGAGGTTATTGTTACAGGTTAAAAAAGCTTAGTTTTAGGCTGAAAAACTAAGCTGTGAGGAAGGAGCTAGAGGAGTGAAGAACTTTTCTCCCCACCAAGTGTCAGGGTACAGAGAACGTGCAGAACACCTTTGCACTTGCCTTTTTCTGTCTTTAATAAGCTTTCTTATTTAGTATCTGGTAGCATTTATACCTTGACTTAAATACGTTCAATTCTACCTAAATAATGAAGGCATATCTCTGCAGGCTGTGTGTCGTACAAGTGTGACCTTTAAACTTGGAAAATGTATTTAACATTTTGGTTAGGGTTGTTGGATCTCTAACCTTGAATAGTCTTGAGAATTAGTTTATTATGTCTCAAGAAATTTAAGTTAATTAGCCTGTATCTTTTTAAATGATTTTTGCATGTTTGGCTTCTTTCAGTAAGATAGTTTGTTCTCTCCCCCAACTGCACCCCACGTATCTACTGATGTGAATGATCGTAAGCTGTTCTTGATGGAGTTATTGTGGATCTTAGAAGAGGCTTCGTTACAGCTTTTACCATAAAGAATAAAATCTCAGCGAAAATGATAACCTTTAAGTTACTAAAGATACAGGACTACTTTTGGGGGTTTTGAAGATGAACTTCATGTTGGATGTCATAAATTGACAAAGAAAAACATCACTTAAAAAATAATAGCAGAATGAGATTGTTGATCATTTTTAGAGAGAAGCCAACAATTTAGATACCAATATGTAAAGCAGCATTACAAAGCATGATTATGAAAGGGAACCTTTCCAGACCAGTATTTTTTCTAGTACCTTAGTTACTTGTTTTTCTATTACCTCATTCATGTTTACTTGGTGCAGACAAAATTTTTCCTCATCAGAGACTGAAGCAAAAAGGAGAAGGAAACAATAAATGAGTTATCACATGAATAAAATATTTTTTATGTGTTCCTTAAAATCATGTGTGTTTCAGAAGAGTGATGGATTAGGTTTTGTATCAGTCAACAGGTGAAAGGACTGGGTTACTGATAGTTTGTTACCTGGTTATTGTGGTCAGCTCTGATGATTCCATTTATGACTATGCTTAGCAAGGTGAACTTGCAGAGTGTCAAGTTTCTACCCTTTTTTTCCCTATTCCATGTATCATCAAATTGTTTAGATTTTCTTTAGAATAGTGTGCTCTTTAAAAAAAAAAAAAAAAAAAAGTTGGGGGGATGCCTGGGTGGCTCAGTCGTTAGGCGTCTGGCTTCTGCTCAGGTCATGGTCCTGGGATGGAGCCCCGTGTCAGGGCTCCCCGCTGCTCAGAGGGAACACTGCTTCTCCCTCTCCCACTCCCCCTGCTTGTGTTCCCTCTGTTGTTGTGTCTCTGTCAAAAATAAAAAAAAAATAATAAAGTAAATCTTTAAAATTAAAGCAAAAAAAGTTAATTCATCCAACAGCATTGGAATTACTACTCAGTGTCACATACTATGAATATAACATGCCCCCACTCTCCAGGACTTTACAGTTTTAAAGGGAATAAATGTTACCAAAACCCATCTGTCTTCCATTTATTTACATTTTTGTTTCTCTTAAACTTGGTTCATCTAAACTATATATTGTTAGATCCTTTTGAAGCATGTAGTTCTAGATCTGTCCCCATCCTTTTAATAGTTGCCCAGTCATCCACAGTTGGACGCATCACAGTTTAACCATCCTTGTTCTGACAGAGATTTAGGTTGTTTCGTCCCCCGCCCCCTGCTCCCCACCCCTGCGCCATAAACTGCAAACAGTGCTATAACAGAACTAGGAAATGCCACCAGAGACGAAACAGCTTTTAAGAAGTACTAGTGAACTTATTTATAACAAGGACCATTGAATTAAAAGGCTCTGGAAGTTAGAGGCCACAGCCTGTCACTTGAGTGCCCTGGGGGCATACAGAATAATATCCTGTTATCACAGTTCCTCTGTAAGTGTGTGTTGCTGGTGAACACACATTTTGCTTGGATAAACAAAATTTTGGCTTTGGGGTAATATGTCTACCAAAGCCAAATTCAAAAGCTTGATTTAGAACAATTATGGAAACTCATTCATTTTTCAGGACTATTATGTAAAAATTTGAGTATTCTATGTTATTTGAGGTTAATTTATACCTCTATTACATACCTTCCATTTCCCCCATGAAACAAAGGGATGAAGTCAGTGACTAAGAAGTTAATTTTCTGAACAGCAGACTTGATCATTTATTTGATATTAAATTATAAGTTTAATTCTTTATTTACTTTTAAAAATTATTTTAGAAAGCACATGCGCAAGTGGGGTCGGCGGAACAGAAGAAGAGGGAAAAAAATCTCAGGCAGACTCCCCACTCAGAATGGAGCACAACAGAGGTTTTAATCCCAGGACCCTGAGATCATGACCTGAGCTGAAATCAAGAGTGGGATGCTTAACGGAGTCACCCAGGCCCCCCATGAGTTTAATTATTTCTGACTATTGGGCCTTATTTTCTTCTTTTGAATTCCTGAAGGCTATCTTGAATACATTACAATTTTAAAATCTACTAATTTCATTTGTTAACAGGGTATTGTCTATCTTAATCACCTTCTTCCACCCTCATTTAATTTAAATTAATTTAATTAAATTTAAATTAACACGAATTTTACTATAGATCCTCACTTCACTTATCTGTCCTGCTGCCACCATCTGATGGGGTGTTCCTGATCCCTGCCTTCTGCTTTATCCTGTTACCGTACTTTGTAAGTTCTTGACAAAGTGCCTTGTACTGTCTCCTTGGAATGCTGCCATTACTTTGAACTTCCCGTTGCAGAGAATTTAATTGGCTATGCTTTAACTTTAGTTTTCATGGCTTTGTGCTAATTTGGTATATCAGTTCCTTCAAATTCATTCAGTTACATGGACCAGATGAACAATTTGTGCCAGGGTAAAGATCTTTCAGAGCAGAGTGGGCAGTGACTTCGTTCAGTGTGACACTCTTACTTGGGGACTGTGTATTCTTTCTACTACTGTGAATTTAGATACACAAAGAGTTTGTTACTGTTTTTGATTCACTGTCCACTTTGTCATGGACAATTTTTCTTTCTTCATGTTCTTTTTAAGGAAAAGCTCCCTGCTTACCTTGCCACCTCACCAATTCCTACTGAAGACCAGTTCTTTAAAGATATTGATGCCCCTTTGGAGAAATCTGGTGGAAATGAAAGATCATCTCAGAGTTCAGACATCTCACACATCTTGGAAACAGAAACGGTTTTCACTTCAAGTTCTGTGAAAAAGAAAAAACGAAGGAGAAAGAAATGCAAACAGGACAGTAAGAAGGAAGACCAGACTGCTTCCGCTGCCGCAGAGGATACCGTGGATGTGGAAATGAGCTCTGATGACGACAAGGGGGTCCAGTCAGCAAGGTAGGGCTCTCCCTGCAGGTGCTGGTCATGTGCACACACTGTGGACAGAGCTCAGGTCCAGCTGGTTGCTGTTGTTTCTTCTGTAGAGCTACAGTGTGAGGTTTAGACTTGTTTTTCCTGTGGAATCAGTGGAAGAGGCATTTTCTTTTTTCCTTTCTGCTGTTCTATAAAATTTGCCATTAGACATCCTGGTGTAGTATTAAAATATCACTTGAAGCAGACTAGCAGTGTGTGTCTTTTCCATCTAGTAGGTTTCCAAAAACCCAAATGAATTGTAAGTCACAAAGAAGATCTGAATTAATGACTTGGCCCTTGGGCAGCCTTGGGTGTATATCCTTACTCGGCATCTTGGTATCTCATCTGTTTCTAAAAAGGTGAGAGTTGTTGTTTAGAGTTTATCATCAAAACATTCCTAGTAAGTTGAAGAGGAAAGGAGGATTTTTGTCATTTTGGCTTTTTTTAAAGTGAGAAATCTTGATTACTTCTTACTTACCAGCTCAGTAGAAGAGCTAATATATGCCAGTTGTCAAGTCAGCAGTGCCTAGGGTTTAAAAGGTAACGGTTGGGGGTAGAACATGTATTTTTTTGTTCAAGATTTTGATTTTTAAAAGGTTATCTTAGATCTGTTCCACTCAGTGGTTGCTCTGGCACTGGAAGAGGACCATATGTGTATCAGCAGGATGGTTTACTTTATTGATGAGCATTAGACAAGAAGATGCTGCCCACAAGTGACCCTAAAGTTCTGCCTACAGTTCTTCCAAGATCCACCAGAAAGGACACTGAAGTAACACTTTTGCCATCAAAGTTTATTGATGTGTGTCTTTTATTATAACATAATTGAGCAAAGCTTAGAATTCTTTTTTTTTTTTTTTAAGATTTTATTTATTTGAGAGAGAGAGAGCTCAAGTGAGAGGTAGAGAGAATCTGAAGCAGACTCTGCACTGAGCCCAGTGTGGGGTTTGATCCCATAACCATGAGATCATGACCGAAGCCAAAACCAAGAGTCAGAAGCTTAACTAGCTGAGCCACCTAGGCACCCCAAAACTTAGAATTCTTGAACAACCTGCAGCTTCAATTTAGGAAGTTAAAACATTTCTAAAACATATGCAGAGTTGCCTACTAAGTGCACAAGAATCATTATTCTAAATGTTTTGTACACAAGCATTGTAAATGAATGCATTACAAAAATTCTTGCACATGCCTCACTTTTCCAGATCGTACAAAAGGCTGCATCAGCCAAATCTATCAGAGTCCTGATTTGGTCGGCAGTTAGATTGTCCACTCTCTCTCCAAGCCAGAATCTTATTTGCATGGGAAGCAGGCATGTCAGAATGCATGTAAATTAGGGTGTTGTAATAATTTTTAGGAGTTTAGTGGCTTGTTTTTTCTTTAGATTACCATGTATCATAGATACTGCCACTTGGAGGAACTCTTTCCTAAAATTTCCCTAAAACGAGATCTGCTTAATTATGTAGCCAACAGAAAATTAGGACTTCAAAAAAAGGACAAAATGTGACAGTCATGGGAATTCAGGTCAGATGTATACGGAAATAAATGCTGAGCTGAAAGGTAGAAGACTAGGCCCGTTCTGTTTTTGATTGTGGAACAACAGCTACTTGATCACTCTTGTCTGGGGCTTTGTTTCTTTTTTTAATTCTTTTTTAAGATTTATTTATTATTTGAGAGAGTGAGCAGGGAGAGGGAGGGAACCAGACTCCCTGCTGAGCACGGAGCCTAGCACAGGGCTCTATCTCAGGATCCTGAGATTATGACCTGAGCCAAAATCAAGAGTCAGACCTTTAACCGACTGACCCACCCAAGCGCCCCTGGGCCTGTTTCTTACTCCAGGAAACAAGAGAATTGAACTACATGGTTGGTAAGGCCCCTTCCAGCTCAACATCTAGATTCTAAAATAATTGGGGGGAAGATATTGAGGGTCGAAAGTATTAACAGCGTGTTAAACAGGTCGAAGAATCAGAAAAAGAATAGAAAGTCAACTGCTTTTGCAGTTGTGCAAGGTAGGAATTAGGTAGGGTTGGAAAGTTTGCAACTTTCAGATATTTTATCCTCCTCAGGCCCCTACACTTAGGAAAGAAATTCTGTGTCCAGAGAAATACCTAAAGTTTTTTTTTTTTTTTTTCTTAAAGATTTTATTTGAGAGAGGATGTGCACATGCAAGCACAAGCTTAGAGGGAGGGGTGTGGAGGGATTTAGGGAGAAGCAGACTCCCCTCTGAGCAGGGAGCCCCACTCCGACTCCAACTTGGGGTTCAATCCCAGGATCCTGAAATCATGACTTGAGCTGAAGGCAGATGCTTAACCAACTGACACCCAGGCATCCCCTAAAATTGGTTTTTATTTTATTTTGATAAATAACATTCTGAAATGGGACAAGTGGTAAATTTCCAACTAAAGATGAACAGCTGGGGCCCACAGTGTTTCTGAGGGATGTTTTCAAGGTTATATGGCAGGTTAGTTACATTAACTATGCAAATTCAAGAAAACCAAAGGGTAAATTAATTAAAACCTTATTAGCATTAGTTCATCCTCCTATAGTTCTGAGGTCTCCATGAATCTTAAAAGCATTTATTGTGCTTTTGTATCATCATTTTATCATCATTGTATCATTCTTAGGTAATTCTTGGCCCAAACAAAAAGAAAAATAAGTTTTGTATGTTTTTAAGAGTTTTTAGGATATTTTTGACAAGCAGTATAGCTCGTTTTCAACTCATAGTCTTGTATTTGCTGTAATATACAGGAGAGTATAGTGAAAGAGCAAGGGCTTACTTGTTTTGAATTCATCCACTTACTAGTTCTTTGATTTACTAAACTTCTCTGGATCCTTGATCAGATATAGGATAGTCTTCCTTGGATTTGTAAGGATTGAATGAAATATACATAAAGCCTTAGTTTTCCTCTTCTGGCCTTTGAATCAATTACTTTGAAGGGCTGTAAAAAGGAATTTTGATCCACATCTTTTCGGTTCTTCCTGTTTATCCCATACTTCAGTAGTGATTGCAGTAGTGTATGGTAGGTGGCATGAGTGAATCCCCCTTCTCTTTCCTATTTTCCTTTTAGTTATTAATCAGTTGGCCTTCCTTCTTCATTTGTACCATCTAAACATGTGTCAGTAGATTTGGAGATATTTTTAAGCTGATGTAATAATGTCATTGTTCATGACTTTGTTTTTTGCCTTTCACAGAGGATCTTCAAATACTTCCTTAAAGGAAGATGAATATAAGGAACCTTTGCTCTTCCATTCTGGGGATCACTACCCCTTATCTGATGGAGACTGGTCCCCTTTAGACAAGTAAGTATTTTCAAGATTTCTCAGTTCCTGTCATATGACAGTAATAATATTTCCCATTTCTCTCATGCAGGAGAACTGAATGAATATGTACTTGTGACATGAATATGTACCGTTCCTCTCAATAATTATTTTGTTCCTAAACTTGATCTCACTTATGCTTACAGTGTTGGTTAGTGTAGATCTGCATAATCAGCTTAGAATTTGGCCCTCTACAATTCTTAAATTCTAATCTTAAAGTGTCAACTTTTAACTGTAACTGTGGATAATGTGTAGAAACATGCAGTCACACTTTGTTTTTTGTTCAAATCCAGTTTCTCTTATGTATTATGTTAATTTAACCCATGTCTCTGTGCAGTTCATCTCTTGTAAAATTACCTTTCTCATTGATTTCTTGTGAGAATCAGTGGGATAATGCATATAAAGCATTTGCAGAGAACCCAGCAAGTCCTCAATAGATACTGGTTGGTGTTTTACTATTATTAAAGAACTCAAATGGAAGATGTAATTGATATTCCCTTCAATAGACTCTTTATATTGGCAGGATAAAGTTGATATGTTCAAACTTATATTTCTTTTAATTTGTTGAGCTCAGCCAGACTGAAGTTCGCGGAGTTAAAAGGCATCACGTTTCTTTGTCCCGTGTTTACAGTCCCTATTCCCCAGGAGCAGTGTGTCCTAAGAGTGATTCAGAGCTGGAGGTGAAACCTGCTGAGAGTCTACTCAGATCTGAGTCCCACATGGAGTGGACGTGGGGTGGGTTCCCAGAGTCTACCAAGGTACTAATGTTTTCTTGCCTGTGGAGTATGTCCAGTTGAAAACCTGTGAGGTGTCTCTGTCATTGGGTAAAGTGGGGAGGGGTGATTTCTGAGCTAGTGCACCTGAATATAAATGATGGTAGTGCCCTCATGTGGTCACATGAGGAAATCCAAAGTTAACATTTTTCATAACTGCAACAGAAGGAATCCAGCATTATTTCATGTGTTCTATTTAGTAAATAATGTTGATTGTTAGTTAACATTTTAATAAGAAACATTTAAAAGTTACCTAAAGGAAACTAAAATTTCCACACTTAGGTTTTAAATAAGAAATGGACTTTATGAAAGCTTTTTCACTTTTTTTTTCACTTCTTCACAGATCATAATGAAAGAATTGGAAAAATACATTACTTGAGAGAGAAAATATTTAGACCCTCTAAGTTTTTTTTAATACACATTTTGCTTATATGTGTGATTAGCATTGAGATTTCACTACCCACTTTACACTGTTAACAGAGTCTTGAGGTATAGTCCAAGCAGGGCTAAATTTTCACATAGCACACAAGTTTTTCTCCCTGAAAATGAATATTCTTCCTCTTAGCATCTAAAACTTGTCCTATTTCCTTAGTCTTCTTTGGTGATTAACTCTTCATAGTATAGCAGTTTGAAATAGAACTTTTTTGTAGATATCGTGATAACTGAACAAAATGTAGTTATTAGTTTTTCCCACTTCTTAATTATGAAATACGTCACACATACAAAATCATGTGTTAACTAAATGTGTTGTTACAAATAAAATGCATTCAATTACCTGCATCCAGCTTAAGAAATAGATTTTAACAAGCACCTTTGAAGGTAGTTTAATTTTTAAGCAATTAAACTTTTTTTTAGGTCAGCAAAAGAGAGAGATCTGACCATCATCCTAGGACAGCTACAATTACACCATCAGAAAATACCCATTTTCGGGTAATTCCCAGTGAGGACAACCTCATAAGTGAAGTTGAGAAAGATGCTTCCATGGGAGAAACGGTCTGTACCATAGTGAAACCCAAACCCAGAGCCCTGTGTAAGCAGATAAGCAGTGCGACTTCCGCTGCAGAACTTCTTGAACCTCCCCTGGAGCAGCCTCAGATTTCATCTATGTTAGATGCAGACCACCTTCCTAACCCATCATTGGTGGAGGCCCCCTCAGAATCAAAACCTGCAGTGAAAGTAGACTCACCATCAAAGAAGAAAGGTAATCATTTGTTTGATTTGGCATCAGGTACTGTAAATTTAGATAAGTTATTTCTGTATTTCAAATGATACATGATGGCAACCTTTGTATTTATACTCCCCTGACCAGACCTAGCACATATTGTGAGCATTGCTTGTTTAATAGGGCTTCCCCACTGCACTACAAATTCCACTAGAGCAAGACTCTCACTTTCTCCCTGCTCCCTCCCAACTGCTCCTACTCAGTACACCCTTGGGAGGCATTTACTGAAAAAAAATTAATGAGCATGTTCAAATCAGTTAATCCATAAAATTAATCTTTATATTGACACAGTATGCCAATAAAGTGAAGTGGAATCCCCCAAAGATTATATGTTCAAAAAGAAAAAATTGGATGAGAGAAAAATGTTTTCACCTGAAACATCTCTAAGGTTAGATGAGGCCAAATTAATTACGTTTTTTCCAGTAACATGGGAAATAAATAAATGTATGCTTAATTTTAGTATGTTTTCTCTTCTTTCATTGATAATTGCCCTCTGAAACATAAAAGATTGGGTCTGACTCTTGGCTCAATAGCTCTATCTCACTTTTGGAATACAGGTTTAATAAATCAGAACATTCTTACTATTTAAAAATACAAAGTTGTCCATTGACAGTTTTTAGTTCAGTTAAGAACCAGAACATACTGTCTGAACACTGGCCTTGAACCCTATTTTTTAGGGAAATAAAACCTTACTTAAAAATTGAAAATACACTCAAGGTTAAATCATCACAAATTGGCCAAATAAATAATGACTACAGGTGTGGACCTTCAGAGTCACTTGGAAATAACTTAGTTAAGAGAAAGACAAATGTATGATTTCAGTTGTATGTGGAATTTAAGAAACAGATGAACATAGGGGAAGGGAAGGAAAAATAAAATACGAAACAGAGAGGGAGACAAACATAAGAGGCTCTTAACTGTAGGAAACAGTGTTGCTGGAGGGGAATTGGGGTAGGGGGAAATGGGGTACCTGGGTGATCGGCATTAAGGAGAACACTTGATGGAATGAGCACTGGGTGTTATATGCAACTGGTGAATCATTAAATTCTACCTGTGAAACTAATAAATGCACTATATGTTAATTAAATTGAATTTAAGTTTAAAATAATTTGGCAAGGGTATTTATGGCCAAATATGATCATCTAGCTGATGATCCAGCTTAACTTGGTACCTGCTCTTCCATAGCTCAGCAACCAAAGGCCCATAATCATGTGTTCTCCTCTAAGAACTGGTAAGGAGGAAAATCCAGTTTTCAGGGTGAATGTTTTGTTTCGGTCTGAAAATAATGACCCCCATTCCTACCACATGGTGACCCTTAGGGGGAAATAATGACCCCTATTTTTAGCACATAGTGTGGAACTAACAGATAGGAACACCGAGTGATTTCTACCATTCATTTGGCCTCATTTTTTCTCCCCCTAGCTTTTTAAATTTTTTTTTAAAGATTTTATTTATTTGACAGATCACAAGTAGGCAGAGAGGCAGGCGGATAGAGGGGGAAGCAGGCTCCCTGATGAGCAAGAGTCCCATGCAGGGCTGGATCCCAGGACCCTGAGATCATGACCTGAGCCAAAGGCAGAGGCTTAACCTCCTGAGCCACCCCCGCGCCCCTCCCCCCAGCTTGTTATCAGAAAGTTTTATACATATTTGCTTTCTTCCTCTCTTTCTCCACTCAGTTTTTTTATTGTTTCAAACCATTTGAAAAACTTGCAAGCATTGTGACATTTCGCCTTTAAACACTGTAAGATATACCTTAAAAGAATAAGAACATTGTCTGCATAACCACAGGACCATTGTCATCTGTTCATATTTCCCCAAATGTTCCAAGGAAAGCTTTTTAGCCGTTTTTTTTTTTCCAAACCAAAATCTCATTAAGGTTCACATGTTGCATGTGGTTCTTGTGTTTAACCTTTTTTTATTTAGAATAGCCCTGCCCACACACATACTCCCCTCACTCCTATACACCCACCACTGCACCTCTTTCCCCCTCTGCACCCGTGATACTGATCTTTTCAAGAGCCCATCCAGTCCTCTTGTATGCTTTCTCACATTCTGGATGTATCTGATAGTTTTTTCCCAAGGTGATATCCCCATATTTCCTTAAACTAGAAGTAGGCTCTAGAACAACACTGCCCAAAAGAAATGCAAAGTGAGCTACGTATGCTATTTTAAATCTTCTCGCATTAAAAAAAAAAGGTGAAATTAAGTTTAGTAATATATTCTGAGCTAGTAAGTCCAAACTATAATTTTAACATGTAATCAATATAAAAATTGAGATATTTTACATTTTTTATAGTAGACTTAGAAATCTAGTGTGTTTTACACATTTTTTACCACAATTTATACAGCTGTCTTAGTCTAGGACACTGGTGACTTGTCATAGTGAGTGGGCAGTACAGGTCTAGAGGCTTAATTAGATTTGGGTTCAACATTGTTTATTTTTTGAGTTGAAGATTACCTCTAGGATATATTGAGTACTTTATCTAGTATCTCATTTTTTCTCCCCCTAGCTTTTTACATTTTTTTATATTTATATATTTATATTTTATATATATATGTATATATATATATAACCACTTGTTTAAGGTGTTGTCTGCCAGATTTATCCATTGTAAAGGATTTTTGTCCTTTTGCAATCATAAGGTAATGCTTGCTGATACTTTGGCACCATATGACTCCCCTGTTTATAGCAACCTTTCCCTCACAGTTTTAAAATAACGACCTCTTTCTCAGTGCCAGTGATTTCATCAGATTTGGTCATGCCTATTCATATTCTAAGAAGACTTTATCATGAAATCTAAATGATTCAGGTGCTAAGATTATCCATCTAAAAGCACATGAAAGAAGTTAGCGTGTGTTTATTGTACAACTGTTATGTGTATAACACCGAATTTCTCTTTCATTGGCATGGATGCTTGAGAACCAACACAGCGGAAAGGTTAATTGAAACCTTTAAAAATAAAATGCAGTTGAGACACCTGGGTGGCTCAGTCAGTTAGGTATCTGCCTTCTGTTCTGGTCATGGTCCTGGAGTCCTGGGATTGAGCCTCGCATCAGGCTCCTTGCTGAGCAAGGGAGTCTGCTTCTCCTTCTCCCTCTTCTCCTGCTCTCTTTCTCTTGCTCATTCTCTCTGTCAAAGAAAAATCTTTAAAAATAAAATACAGTTTGAATCATAGTTGGTCTTAATTGTTTGTAAAACCTTTGTTTTTTTGAAGAGTTGTAAATGAAGAATAGCTTAAGTTCTTACTTTTGATGCATTTTTCTTATAAAAATAGGTGTTCACAAGAGAAGCCAGCACCAGGGACCTGATGATATTTACCTGGATGACTTAAAGGCTTTAGAACCTGAAGTTGCAGCCCTCTATTTCCCTAAGAGGTAGTGTATTTTTTAGATGTTGAAGGGTGACTAGCTGTGAAATATAGTGGCTGTTTCTAAATCAAAACATTCTGTGAAAAAGGAGCAAGGTTATGGAGATCTTTAGCTAAGTTGGATGATTGCTTCAGATTTTGGGAAATTCAGAAATTGTGTGTTGTTTGGACTGTAGTGATTTGAAACTAATAATTTACCTCTTTACCTATTATAATTTACCTATTACCTACTTATAAAGAAATTTTCAGTATAATGAGAAGAGGTATACTAGTTAAAGCTATGTAACGATTTACCAATGGTTATGACTTCACATTAGCAAATCTTACAGTCATTAATGCAATAAAAGTTCATCAGCATATTCCATTTATTATGTTTTAAAGGTAATATATCTTTATTCAAACACATTTTACAAAGAATGCCTTCACTCCTTCAGTGAGTCTGAGTTCCCAGGTGAACTTTGGCTGGGCCCAGTGAGACACCATTCCAGCTGGTGTGAGCCCCACATTTTCCCTAGAGCTCTTACCATTTGTCACCCCCCACCTCACAATTTTCCACTTTGAATAACTTTAAAACCTCAGATACAGTGTATTGTACTGTTCTCCTAAGTTCATTTCTATCCGTAGGGAAGTTCCATTATAAGACTCTGATTACAAAAATCAATTTACTTTTTCTCATGGAAGGTATGGTTTGAATATACTGAGTTATAGATACACATAATTAAGTATTTAGAAATAAATTATCGAAAAACATTTTAAGTTTTTATTTAAAATGGAAAGATGGGGTTGATATGTTTAAATTTTTTTATAGATATTTTTGGAAAGTCCTTAAAATTCTTTCCTAGCTCTCTGCCCTAAATTTGTCTTAAAATATGTTCTTCACATGAAGTAGTAGTTGGGTTTTTTAAGGTGAAAGAACTAGAAGTGCTCCATGTTTTTTTAATAGGAAAGTTAAAATGTAAGCTTAGAATTAACACTTTCTTTCAGATTTCACAGTCCTTATTTATTGATATTCCAAGGATTGATATTTTTAGTTTCCCTTTTAAAAAATGGGGAGAAACTGATTGATTGATTAAAAAATGAGAATGAAATGCAATGAAACCTTACTATGCTGTATTATAATTTGACTGCCTGAGGTCATTGCCCATTCACCAAGTTAGCCTATTTCTGAGACATTTTATAAATACTTAAAAGGTAGTGGGACTGATATAACGCTTATCACCATTTGTTTTGTTAATTGTCATGATCCATGTCCTCTTGATTAAGTATCCAGTATTTGTAATTATAGCTAAACATTGATGTAAGTCACACTGCTCTTATAGATTTGGCAACATGTTGAATCAGATGGCATCCTCCATGTATTTAGAGGTTACATTGGTTAGGATAACACTAGCTGCTCTGATAAAACACTGGACCTCAGTGACGTACCACAATAGAAGTTTATTTCTTGCTCATGTATTCCAGTGCTAATGTTTGGTGCCAGACGCCTTACTCCCAGGGATTCAGGAGCACAGCTTTTCTTCCATCTTGAGGCTCCACCATTCCCTTAGGGCCTCCATAGGGAAAAGAGAAAGACTCACACAGGGGAGTTTTCAGGAGCCAGGCTTGGGAGGGGCACAGCACACCCCTTCTGTCCACATCTTAAAACTCGGTCATATGGTCACTTGGCCACATCTGACTACAGGGGGACCTAGCCATGGGCCCAGGAGAAAGCAGGGCCCTGTTTGTGTTTTACCCAGGGGTCAGCCTTGCTCTCTGATGCCAACATATTAGATTTTGCTGCTTTACATCAGCTTTGGCTTTTTCACCATTTCCAATGAGAAGAACATTCTGTTGATCTAACTAATGTCAATATTGTAGACTGGGTATGCATTGCTATTAAGAAAGAAAATTTCCAGAAACCTGAATCTGGGTTGTTGGTTCAAATGCAAAACATAATAGCTTTGGAAACTGCTTTCTATTTATGGCCTATCCATACTTTGCTGCCAGCTACTACTCAAATTGAGTTTTTTTCTTAAGATCATAAAGCTTAATTGAATCACATACATTAAGTATATTGGCTTTTTGAATAAAATAAAAGAATTTGAAACTTTTAGAACAGCTTTTCAATGTGACATTAAATGTCCATTCAAAGAGTGTGGAGCAGTAAGCATTCATGAATAAGAAACTTAAGGTACCATTTCCTTATCCTTTTCATTCAGATTTATACTTCATTACAAAGTTTCCTTCAGGATCATCTTCTAAAACCTGGCTTCCATGCCCTTACCATCTAGAAAAATGAATTAACTTCACCTTTAGTCCTGAATCTCTCTGGTATAAGAATAGTTTGTTTATAGTTTATTTCTCAAAATCTTTGTTTCAGGGTGGGTCTACGCTCCTGAGAATTTTCTCTTGCTTAATTTCTTTGTTTTGCGAAGTAACAGATGAATTTAGAAAAGCCTAGACAGCTCTGAACCATAGTAATTTTCTACAGGATGTGTGTAGTACCACCACTTTTTCTAGGAAGTTAGGATCAAAGGTTCCCAAACATCAGATTTTTCTTAATTACGCCGTCATTTTCATCATGGAAATGTAAATAAATGGTTATAACTCTTTTACTCCTTTAATTAAAATCAGAAAGCCTATAGTTGAAAAGTTTGTCTTACTGGGAGTGACTATAGTGATTTTTGTGGCCTATTTACTGTATTCACTGTTAATTCCTCAGCAGTGCGATTAGGTTATTTTTAATGTCATTTATGATATGATCCTAAACTCTACCTAAGAAAAACTATGTCCATAGGTCAGTCTGTTCCTTTTTTAATGGAATAAATTACTTGGTTCAGGTCCCCAGAGAACCACATAGTAAGCTAGGAATATAAGAAGTTGCAATAAGGCAGATCCTTTTCTCCCCATCTGCTGCCCACAGTGAATCGGACCCTGGCTCCCGGCAGTGGCCTGAGTCTGACACGCTCTCCGGCTCCCAGTCCCCACAGTCTGTGGGAAGTGCGGCTGCAGATAGTGGCACCGAGTGCCTCTCCGATTCTGCCATGGATTTGCCTGATGTCACCCTCTCCCTTTGTGGGGGTCTCAGTGAGAACGGAGAGATTTCCAAAGGTATGTCAAGCAGTTGTGCCTTGTCTTCCCCTGGAGAAAGCAGCCTGGTCATCACATGATAGAAAACCTGCTGGTTAGCCACTCAGGATATTAAATTCTTTAATGACCTTGTGCAAGTAACAAGTATCTCCCTTTAATGTCAGATCCTCAGCCCCTCATTTAAGGTACCTCATATGGGTTGACCTTAAAAATAAATGGCTTGGGTGAGTTGACAGTCCTTGGCAGGTGCTCATTTCACTTGAAGAGGGAGAATTCTGAGACTGCCCTGTTTACGAAGCAGCAAGGGTCAGCTCAGGCTGTGTCCATTTTCTCATCTGTGAAGTTGAAATGTGTGTGGACGGGGACCCAGCTGCCCTGGAAAGCGCTGGGCCTGAGACATGAGAGTAGGGCCTGAAGTTGTGGAAAATTAATTGTCCGTTGAGGAAATAGTCTTTCCAGCAAAAAGTCGAAGGGGTTATTTTCTATCTTAGTCTTGAGACTTGGCCCTGGAAAGTACATTTGCTCCAGAGAAAGGAAGAATCTTTAGCAGAGCCAATTCAGATGACTCTGGGGTAGGTCAAGCAGTCGTGTGTGTCTTTCCCAAGTTCTTTGGCCTCTCTGGCTTTACCTTCCTTTGTAACCTAAATTCTTCATATTTTCTTAGTTTGGCTCGTGGCCCCTGATTGATTTTCCTCTAAGGAAAGATTTTCCTTCCAGGACTAGTAGTATCATCTTTTGTCTTCTCTGCCCCTTGGAGCAGCTGAAGTCCTGTGTTTGGCAGACTGGGTACCCCGAGCGTTACAGTTGTGCTTTGCTGAATCTTTTTCTTTTTGAAGGTCACAGGGTGCTCATTATGCCTCTTTCTTCTCTATCTCTTAACTCTTGTTTGTTTTATTATTTGCAAGAAATTAAGAATCCGTTATGGCCAGTAATTCTCAGTCCCCATAAGCCTTCACTTTAAAAATTATAGGTGGGGGGTGGAATGGAAAATACACAGTTATACAGACTATAGAATTTACATTTTTTAAAAATCTGGGTAACTTAGGTAGAATTTGTTATTGGAGGAGGCAGAAATGGCAAGTAAAGGTAATTAATATACACATCACCGGGAGGAACAATCCTGGTGAGAAATTCTCTGTTAGCTTAGATCTACTAGAGTGTGGGTTTAGGAACAGAGCACACAAATTCATGCAGAATCCTCATTTATTTCTCAAGAACTTGGGATTCATTCCTTGACAGACCCTAAACCAAATTCTGGTGTGTTTTTTTGTTTTTTTTCCTCTAAGCAATTGTAAAATGTTTTGTTTTTTTAATGTAACATGCACTTAATACTGTAAGAGTCCCATGAATATTCCCTAGTTTCACAGTTGCTTCCTAGTAAAGTTTGTTGTCTGTGCTAAGAATGAAACTGCAGTTTTTATTAGTTCTAGAATGTGTGTGCACACACGTGTATCTGTGTCTTCCTTTCTCTTGCCACATCTGTAATTTATTTTCCTAAAAGTCTCTGGCGTATCCTTCCTGTGTTTTTTTGTTGTCGTTGTGGGTTTTTTTGTTTTTTTGTTTTTGTTTTTGAGTGAGAGTAGTTGTGGAAGAGGGGAAAGATAGAAAAAGGAAGTGTTCTTTCTTGCGCTGGATTAAAAAAGTGATATTTTGCTTTTGACGAATGTAAAAAAGTTTTTTTGTTTTTTTTAAAGGACTCATTTTATCCCTCATTTTATGCTATAGTTCCTTCAGTGTAGAGTATTGTGATGATCTCATTTAGGAATTTATGTAATCTCTAACCAAAGGGTCATTACTATTTTACATTGCAGAAAAATTCATGGAGCATATAATTACTTATCACGAATTTGCAGAAAATCCTGGGCTTATAGACAATCCTAACCTTGTAATACGGATCTATAACCGGTAAATACTCCTGCTTTTGTAATTATTAAATAGTCTTGCAGAGTTTTGGTTTTTTTCAAAGTGCTCTTTTTAACCGTTACAGTTTTCTTGCCATAAAATGTGCCATTTCCTATAAATGGAACTAGTGGACAATAATTTTAAAGTGAAAGAGAAGCCTCGGCCTTAGTTTTCAGTGAAGCATCAAAATGTTATTGTCTTAGATATTTAACTGCATCTCTGCTCAGAGAAGTTTGGCTTGAAGCAAAGGTCGTTCATGTGACCAGAAATTTAGCTGACCATCTCACTGAAAACAATAAGGAATTTTAGGTCTTACGCCTATCCTCTCTTCTCTCTCCCTTCTTCTCTTCCCCTTCCTGTACTCTTGCTCTTTCCCTTCTCTGTGTAATGGTTTTGCACAATTTTTATTTCACACAGTTATTATAACTGGGCTTTGGCTGCTCCCATGATCCTTAGCTTGCAAGTATTCCAGAAGAGTCTGCCAAAGGTGAGATGATCCATTTCTTTTCATTTTTGAAAGTATCTACAGCATATGATATTTAGAAACATCGATATGTGCACATTTCTAAACTGCGTACTATGGTCAAAGTTTTGTTTAAAATTAATATTAGAGAAGACCCAAAGAGTTCTGTGTGCCCACCCAAATTATCTCATGCCCAAAATCTAGGAAATTTGCTGGGCTGCCATATCTTTGTCATTTTTATTAGATATTTATACTGGTTTCTGACTGGGTATAAAAGTTGGGAGATTTTATTAGTTATTAGCTAACTACAGAATGAATGAAAAAAATTCCTCATTAATAAGGAAAGAAGCAGCAAGAAGAGGGTGGTGTGGCCACCAGAAGTGTGGCATCCGTGTGATTGGGTCAAATTGTGGCTAATAAGCCTTTTATGTAGAACCTAAAGGTTCTAAATCTGTGTATCAGCTTAGTTGGTCCTCAAAACGCATAAAAAACATGTTATCCAAGGGTAGAGAAATGAGAGCATCCCGCCTGACAGTCCCCCCCAACTGCTTCTCTATAACCAGACCACCCAGCCTCCTACCACAGAACCACCACAGAGCTGTGCCACCACAAAAAAGAACTATCTGCCTTTCACTGGTGTTACAGACTCTAGAGTACTTGGGGAGATGTGGAGAATGTTGCTCACATTCCATAATAAAGCACCATCCCACAGGCTGATGGTAGAAAGTAGTTGGGTCTTTGTGACAGACAGATGGCTAGACTGACCCAAGTTGATTGTTTCAGGCCACGGTTGAGTCCTGGGTCAAAGATAAGATGCCAAAGAAGTCTGGTCGCTGGTGGTTTTGGCGTAAGAGAGAAAGCATGACCAAACAGGTAACTGACCTGGAAGAGGTAATTTTTTCCACGGGCTAAAAAGAAGTGAATCTTTGATTTATTCAAAAAACCTTTGTGCCGCACACAAGAAAGTCAATTTGGGCTATTCTCTTAGAATATTAATAGTCCCCATTTTGGAACAGTGAGATGTGGAAGTGCTGTGCTTACGTGCTTTATTTTGCCTTTCACCTTCACGGCAGCCCGATGGTATAGATGTTTAAGCTCCCACTTTAGAGGTAAAGAAACTGGTGCAAAGAGGTGACGTCGCTTGACCAAGTGCACAGAACTGGTGAGGGATGGAGCTAGGGTTTGACCATGAGTCCAGCCCCAAAGCCTGTGCTTTTTCCGCTCTGCTCACTGCGTTACCTTCCAAACAGAAGCAAGAGCTTGTTCTCCTCCCAAGGAGGAGATGGCAGTGGCAGTCATATCAGTAACTTCTGTTCTGTAGTACTTGTGTCCCTGGCGCAGACATAATGAGTATAGGCCAGTTGTATTCTGTGACTTGAAATAGTGCCCTTTTGAAATTTTCACTTGTGGCTTTGTAGTAACAGCTTTTTGCATAGTAGCATATGACTTCTATCTCAGATTTCTTTCCTTTGGCACAAGTAGAAAAAGGCTGTTTCTTAAGCATTTTTAAGTTGTGGATTCAGAAAACCATTTTGTTCATTCCTGGAGAGCGCTGCTGGTAAGTTTTTACCTGTCAGTCGCTGGGAGGGAAAAATTGCACATTGCTATTATTATCTTGTTTTAGCTGCCAGAGGCCAAGGAAGGGAAATCCGACGCGCCACCAACCAGTGACCTGGCATCGAGCACAAAGGAGCCAGCCAGTGGCAGGTGGGGTGCTCTGTCCTTCCTCTGGGCTCATAACCCCTGGGCTATGTAGCCATTATAATCAAATTGATTTTGACAGTTTTGTTTAATATTTAGTCAAAAATGGCTTTCTCTAATGGACAGTCATGACAGTAAGTGGCTTATTGGTGCCACTCAGGTAGCAGATGATAACTTCTGCTTTTCTAAAAAAAAAAAAAAAAAAAAAAAAATCAGCTCAGAGGAGTAAACATACTCAGCACTGCTTTTTAAATGTCTTGCTCCATTCCTGGAGCTGTGGAATCAGATGCCTGTGAAATGGAGGCCTTTGGGAAGGGGATCTTGAGGAGCCTTAATATGTGCTGTCTCTGGTTCCTGCTCCCTGGCTTCCTATTAGGTGCAAAAGGGAGATGCTGAAAATTTCATGATGCACCTGGCCAGCTCAGTTGGTAGAACATGCAACTCTTGATCTCAGGGTCATGAGTTCTAGCCCCCCTACCCCACCTTTGGGTATAGAGATTACTTAAAATTAAATATTTTTTTAAAAATTCCAAAATTGGTGTGGGTCCATTTCATTTCTTAGAAGTAGCACCCCTCTAGATATTTGGTTTGGCTGGCCCTGAAAGATGCCAAGACTTACCCTATTCTCATTTTAGCTGTTCTAGCTATACTTCCCCAAACAGATTCTTTCCTTCTCCTCCTCCAGCTCTTTAATTCAGGGGTTGGTCTAAGCCTGAGCATTCATTTTCTTGCTCTTTGCCCACTTTTGTTAAAGGGGTTATAGCAAATCTATCTTAATAGTTTTTAAAATCTGTGTAAGCAATTATATTTTCTATAGTTTGCATCTTTTGAAACGTCTGTTATCTTTTCAGTAAAGGTCAGTAGACCTAGTAGCATTCAACGGTCATAGCAGAAAATAATCAGTCATGGCCAGACTATAACTGCTGGCTAGTCTGAAAGTGAGGAGGAGGATGACCTCCTCACTCATGGTAGGAATACTCAGGGAACCAAGGGAACAACTCTTCTCATCCCTAGAATGGATTTAGGATCTCTTCATCCTAAATGAAAAGCTCTTCTCAGTGAAGTGCCCTGCTGCTTCTTAAGTAACTGGATTGCTGTTGAATAGGCCGGCTGAGGATGACTCATCGAGCGATGAGGGGTCCCAGGAGCTTGAAGAGTCCATCAAGGTGGACCCTGTTCCCACAGAGCCCCCAAGTCATGGCAGCACAACCTCATATAAGAAGTCTCTTCGACTCTCTTCAGATCAGATTGTGAGTTGTGTGTGATCCGTGTGGATCCAGTCAGTTTATTTTAGTAACTGTTTAATTAACCATGCTTCCTCTTCTGTCCACACTATCCCCAGCCCTGCACACAGGACATGGTGTGTGCTTATGTAAATGCTCACACATGGTAGAACAGCATCTCCCTCCCCTGGGGACCACCTGGGGCACCTGGGACATGGCTTTTTCTACCACCCCAGATGTCCCAGTTGAATCTCTGGGAATGAGCCAAGGGATCTGTATTTTCAACCTGTTTCCCAGATGAGTCTTGCCCAGCCAGCCCGTCACTGGGCCATACACTGTCTTTTAGGATCCACAACAACAGAGAAATGCCATTTTCTTGCATTGCATTGCAGTTTCCTCTTTCCTGTTTGTTTCCCACTCCTTTCCCCCTGTTTTCAGTTTGAAATGGTCTTGCTATGCCCCAGGCCTGTCAGGTATGGAGGAAGAGCAAAGACGTTTGGTTTCTTGGGGGAATCAGAAAAATCGCTTAGAATTCCAGAACATCATTCGGGCAGTGGCTCCTTCAGCCTCTTCTGAGCAAGCTCTCCATGCTGTGCTGGGCAGGGTGCATGCCTATGCAACAGAAACCGTCCTGCCTTGAGCTGAGGCCCTGAAACACTGGTGGTGGTGATGTAAATATTCAGACTCTGTTGTAAACTCTGTTTTCACCTGGTTTTTTCCCTTTTATTACAATAATCATATTCATGTACTTCTTTCCATTCCTTATACATCCCCCTGTACAAGTATACACACACACACACACACACACACACACACACACACACACACACACACACATTAGGGATTAGGATCCTTTCTTCACTTAACATTATATTTTAGCAATCTCTCAATGACTATATATTATTGGAAACTGATTTTTAATTGTACGTAATTCCATCAAAGTGATATCCCATTTATTTTATAAATTATCTATGATTTTCCTTATTCTCTTACTTTTTATAAAAGGCAAAACTGAAGCTCCAAGATGGCCCAAATGATGTTGTGTTTAGTATTACAACCCAGTATCAAGGTACCTGCCGCTGTGCGGGAACCATTTACCTGTGGAATTGGAATGACAAGGTCATCATTTCTGATATTGATGGAACGATAACCAAGTAAGCACGAGCCCATGGTAGGCAGCAGCAGTCAAGGCGTAGGCTGCTGTGCAGTAGTGGGTAGGATCAGGGGGATCCCTCCTTGGCCACTGTCAGGTGTTTTTAAAACTCTCTGCACTGAGACTTGCATGCTGAGGTCACATGTGGTCACACATGGTCACACACAGTCATTCTGTGGATGGTGAAGATGAATGGAGTCATACAAATTAACATTGAAGATAACTTTTGGAAAGATTTAGTTATTTGGTCTCCAAGTTCTGGCATTAAATTTTTTAAAAAGTAAGAAGGTGTTGCGATTAGGGAGGAAGAAAAGAGGATGTGTGGTTGTAAATTATCTCTAAAAATGAACATCTGGCTTCTACTTTTAGAAGTTCCTTAGTGGGTGGGTGTACATGCAGGGGACTGCCTTGCTGTTGCACAAGCCATGACAAAGTTGTGCCTATAGATTAGATTGTCCCTAGACCCTGCCTCTACCCAGTGGTATTTAGCAGCTGGCATTGTAGTAGGAAAACACTTGGCTTTATGTGCTTTGTTTCTGATACCTTTTCCTATTTCTACCTTCTTAGGTCTGATGCCTTGGGGCAGATTCTTCCACAGCTGGGTAAAGACTGGACTCATCAGGGTATAGCAAAGCTCTACCATTCCATCAATGAGTAGGTATCCCCACTCCGTGTCCACATGCTCATGTAGCCTCACACAAAGAAAAGCATCAGCCACCGTTTCTGGAACATGAGCTGTGTGCTAGCCATCGTGTTACATGTCTCAGCCGTCTCCTCTACGCTGCATAGCGCTGGGAGTTGCAGGCACTCCCTGGATCTATAGTTCTAGCTATCCTGTGGTGGGGGGGGCTTTGCTTTAATTTAACAGGAGAGCCAGTTTTCATTTTTGGTTTATTAGTTGGGTTTTTTTTAATCTGATTTCACTGAGTAGGTAATGTGTGCATGCTTGAGGGAAACATTTCACCAATGTGAAATTCCTGCTTCTCCTTTCTGTTGGAGCAACAGAGGAAACAGTGCTGTGGCCTTTGTGGACCATAGTGCGTATGAGTTAAATTGATTTGAAGACTCAGTGTCTTAAGCATTAGTTGAGAATGCCGTAATAGGAAAATTGTGAGTATGTCTATTACCCAGGTGTGATTTTGTTCCTTGTCTTACAGAGTGGTTTGCATTCTATAAATTGTCTTTATAAATAAGATCCTTTGCATTTTTCGTTTATGGCAGGTAATTTAAAGATAGTCCAAGATTTTTGTTCTGTATTCTGATTCTCATGGACTAGATGCTAAAGATACTTCAATCTTACAAATTTAGCAGATGCCTAGTTACATATACCTGCATTTTCCCCCATGGTGTTTTCCATGGAAAATTGAGATCCTTATAATGCTAACTGCTTTCCTTATTAAATTCAAGAATTTTATTTTCACAATAAATGAACTGTATTTAAATCTTCTAAAAGAATAGTGCTGCTTCGGGGTGCCTGGGTGGCTCAGTCAGTTAAGCATCTGCCTTTGGCTCAGGTTATGATCTCTTGGGATTGAATCCCACTTCAGACGTCCTGCTTATTAGTTGGGAGTCAGCTGCCTCTCTCACTCTGCTCCTCTACCTGCTTTTTAATGCAGTCATGCTCTCTGTCTCTTTTTCTCTCAAATAAATAAATCTTTAAAAAATAAAATGAAATGTAAAAAAAAAATAATAATAGTGCTTTTTTTTTTTTTAAACTTTGCTCAAAGAATGTTTCTAAACAGGACATGTTCTCTTTCAGAAATGGCTACAAGTTTCTCTACTGCTCCGCTCGTGCCATTGGCATGGCTGACATGACCCGTGGCTACCTGCACTGGGTCAATGACAAGGGCACAATCTTACCTCGGGGCCCTTTGATGTTATCCCCCAGCAGCTTGTTCTCAGCCTTCCACAGGTACCTCTCCTACGCAGGCTTGCATGCCCACTCCAGGGGAAGGGGTCTGATTGTTGGGGAGATTGGAAGTCAAACTCACTGTAAGGGTTTGTATATCATTCCAAGCTTCTGCATGTCTTGGTTCTTGGGCTCCCCCAGAGCATTTTAACTCTGAGCCCACCCAGTCCATAATCAGACACTGTCCAAAAGAGTCAAGCTATCAAGTTTTCCCCTTCCCTAAACCCCATCACTCAGAATGTCAGTCTTTCTTGACTAGAACAGAAGGAGAAAGAGAGATGCTGGTTACAAAAGACTTTCAGAGGGGCGCCTGGGTGGCTCAGTGGGTTAAGCCTCTACCTTCAGCTCAGGTCCTGGTCTCAGGGTCCTGGGATCGAGCCCCACATCGGGCTCTCTGCACAGCAGGGAGCCTGCTTCCCCCCCCCCTCTGCCTGCTTCTCTGCCTACTTGTGATCTCTCTCTCTCTGTTGAATAAATCAATAAAATCTTAAAAAAAAAAAAAAAGACTTTCAGAAATGATTGTGACCACTGAAGTCTTTTCAGGACCATACAACAGGGAAAACAACATTTCAAATTTGGTCATTGTATTGTTTTTTTGTTTGTTTGTTTGTTTGTTTTTGCCTAGGGAAGTGATAGAAAAGAAGCCAGAGAAGTTCAAAATTGAGTGTCTAAATGATATCAAGAATCTGTTTGCCCCATCTAAGCAGCCCTTCTATGCTGCCTTTGGAAACCGTCCAAATGTAAGTGTCTCCTCTGGGCTACACATTCTGGTGTTTTCAGAGGAGTATTTTTTAGGGTACCGCCCTGTCATGATTCTCAAACCAATTGTATAAGCAAAATAGATATTGTGCTGAATAGGTTTTCGTTTTCTCTGTTCTTAATTTCCGTTCTGTAGCTGGACATCTGCCCTAGAGTTTTGATGTATGAGAAAGGGCACTTTGCCGTTGTTTCTGTGGCTTTGCTTCCATCTCCTTAGGTAGTTCTGACTCGTGTTCTAAGTGGTTCTAAGCCGTGCTCTTGGATCCCCGCCCCCAGAGAGTGCTCAGCCTTCCCGAATGCTTCTCAGCCTCTCCGCATAGTCGGCCCTCCTGTTCCCGGCTGCCGAGGGTGTTGCTCTCTGGCCTCTGGCAGGCAGCGGGGCCCTACCTGCTCCTGGGCCCAGGCCTCTGCTCCATGCGCAGTGTTCTAACTGTAGTGCCCTTGGCTTTGGCTCCCCTTTTCAGTTTGGGTTTGCCTGGAGATCACCTTCCGCAGCAGAGCTGCACTGTGCAAGCTCCACACGTTTGCAGTACACCGTCTCCTGCTTGTGCAGTTCTTCTGGCTCACAAGGAACCAGAGAAGCATCTCTCAATGTCTTTTCTTATAATCACGCTATTTAATGTTTTCTTGTCCAGGATGTCTATGCTTACACACAAGTGGGAGTTCCAGACTGCAGAATATTCACCGTGAACCCCAAGGGCGAATTAATACAAGAAAGGACCAAAGGAAACAAATCCTCGTAAGTATGTTCCTGTTTCCCAGCCCACTGCCCATAGCCAAGGGTGAACCTGGGGACAGAGTCTCAGGATCAGCCCCGCCTCCCCTGCCCAGTAGCAGAACTGTACCTGCGTTTTGGAGGCTTTCCTCTTTGTATGGGTGTTTTTGCCTCTGTAATAGCTTCTGAACCAGGATCACTTACGATCCGAGACTTCAAAGAGGGCCATGCCCCGGGAGGGGTTGGATGCCTCGCACTGAGGCCTCTTAGTAACTAACTTCACAGCACATAGTCCTGGGCTCTGATGTCACTTAAGGGTGACAGTTTGTGTGTTCTTCCCCAACCCCTTCTAGGTATCATAGACTGAGCGAGCTCGTGGAGCACGTTTTCCCGCTTCTCAACAAGGAACAAAACTCTGCCTTTCCCTGCCCAGAGTTCAGCTCCTTCTGCTACTGGCGAGACCCGATCCCCCAAGTGGACCTGGACGACCTGGCGTGAAGTGGCACCTCCCAGGGAGGTCCTTAGGCATTTGCCCCATAGCAAGGGAAGGTGACCAGCACTTCTGGACAGAGGCCACTGGGCTACCCTCCAAGCCCCAGGTGCAGGACAAGACACGTGTTGACAGCTGGACACCATCAGGCACCAGGAGAGCTCCTGGAGCTGGAACCGTTGTCTTCCTTTCCCTTCCCAGGCCTGGCAGGGTTGCCGCTCGGAGCCCTGAGCAGGCAGGCAGGCAGGCGAGGAGCTTGGACCTGCGGTGGGAGGCCTAGGCTCCTATTACTAGTCGTCCTCACACATGTGCTGTGTCAAGTGTGTGCCGGTGCTCCTTTAACTGAATAATTTAAAAGGAAGAAAAAAGCTAAACAAAAGGGGACCAAAACATGTATAAAGTGTTATAATTTCCACTGGGAAGTTGAGATTGTTTCTCTCTAAAACCAGGGCTTTCTTTAGGGGATCAGGGTCCACTAAGCTGCTACAGGTCCAGTTAGTGATGTTGGTTCAAACCACCTGTGCACTTTTCTTCCATGGGCTCTTCCTTCTCTGCCACCATGAAACAGGATGTCTGCTCGGTGGGCTGCTCCAGGCAGGGGCCAGGGCCACTGACCCCAGCCCCACAGATACGGGCTTCTGGGGACAAAAAGCCCCTTAGATCATTGCCTTCTCAACTGTGGCTAGCCTATCTGTATTGTCTTGGACCCAGTCAGGACAGAAAGGTCTTGCTGGATGTGCTTGGTGCCTGTAGTACTGTAAGAGTACTAATGGTGGGAGTTGATTGGACAATAAGCAACAGCTCTGTTTTCAGGGAGGCCTTAGAAATGCAGATAGGCATTCGTGTGGGGTCCTGGAAGAGTCCTTTTCTCTGTCCTTCTGCCTTCAGCTTAGTCTCCCAGCCTGGTTGTAATGAGGCAGGGTGGTCCAAGCAGACAGCTCCAGGGGAGGGTCTGTCCCATGAGCCCCTCCAGAACTGAGAGCCTGGGTGTTGACGGCAACCTCAGTGTTAGAATCCAGAGGACTGTCAGAGAGGAGGCCTCCATGCATGCACAGGCCTTGGCCGGCAGGGAAGCACTCAGCCAGGCGCCAGAGCAGAGGATGGAAGCTGCGGATCCAGGTGCCCGCAGGGAGCAGCTTCTGTGCCCACCTCTGCTGGTCTGGGACTTGGGCTGCGTTGCTCTCCTCACTCTCCTTGTTTTAGTTTGCCCCGCCCAAGTAATACTGACCTAAGATGGAGAAATGGGGTGGTTATTTTTCTAGATTGGAGAGTTGGAAGTCCCTTTAGTTTGGCCATTTCTCCGCGCACTTTTGTATGTGGAGACCACGGTAGAGCCCCCCGAACGCAGCTCTGTGGCACAACACAGAGGCACGTGCTCCCAGAGGAGGACCAATGTGTGCTGCTTCCGGTGCAAACTTTCTGCCCTTCAGTAGTGCAAGGACTAATTGTTTAAAGAGTTTATTTATGTACAGTAGGTTAGGCAAACTCGGTTATGTTTCTAGGAAATTTTGCCCAGTTAGTGACTTAAAATCTGAGCAGTGGTGCAGCTGGTGGGCTCCGAGACGCTGCCAGTGTATCTTCTCCACGTTCATTTTCCAGGAAGAATATGAGCTTTCTGCACTGAACCTGAGCTTACTAGGGCTTCTCTGCACACATGCGGTACAGGAAATCTTGACCTTCTATAGTCCTCTTTAGGTTGTCTTTTAAAGAGTTTTTTGATTAGACTATTCCTTTTCCTCAATAAGTTCTTCTCTGTGGACACACGGGCCTTCTGTAGGTCTGACCCAGGGGCCCAGGTCTCCCAACTCCTGTGCCGAGGTGGGACAGGCCCCTCTGTCCTGGTGTCCATAAGCACTAGACTTTGTTGTTTTGTTGCTGCAGATTGATCCAGTGGGTACATTTGCTAATTAACATGAATCTTTTTCCTTATTTAAAGGAGTCCCTCTTGCTGAAAGTAGATGATTACTATCACTATAGTGTTAATGAAAGTATTAAGTTTGTGCTAAAACCCATTGCCATTTGGTACAAATGACATTTGTTCTTTCTGTGAAAGAGAGTTACCCTTGAGTGTGTTTGTACACAGACCCTTCCAATGGTGAGTTAATGAAGAAGCGTTATCCCGTGCTGCTTTCGGTGATGGGCGGGATCACAGGGTGATCGCAAGCAGATTGGGCTTTTCGAAGTCATTCTCTCGGTTGTTCCACTGGTGAAATGGCCTTGGCCCCTTTCCCTCTCTCCAATTCAACCTGACTTGAGTATTTGCCTTGCTCCCCACGTGCTGAAGCTTCTCTGGCTGTGGTGTCGACATCTGCGTCTCTGGCAGGCGTGAGGAAGTGCGCGTGTGGGCCCGGAGCATGCACACTTAGCCGCTGTGTGTGAGGACTGTTTGCTGTGCTCAAAGCCATCTGCTTAGTTTTCAACTGGAAAAAGAAAAAACTTATAGTGTGATGTCTGTCCTAAAATGAAAGCTGCTAATGGTCACAGGGAGAACAGCTGAGGAACGACAGCTAGCTAAATGACCAGAAAGTGCCTGTGCCCATAGGAGCACATGTGGCCCTTCGGGACGATGTTCTTGAAGGTGCAGGCAAGACCTTTAAAGAGAAGTAGAAAGTAAATGCTTTCTCCTTTTGCTAGTTGGTGAAAACAAACTCTTCCAGGGAATTTTAGCATCTTTAAGTATCCTGTTTACTCTGGGAAGTCTTGTTTTCCTGTTTGAGAATATGCTGTATTTAATGAAACCGGTTAAAAATTGAGTTTTTAAGTGCTCTTTCCAGGTGAAAACTACTTTTTTGGTTTGTTTTGAAGGTAAGAGAGGGAGGGGGAAACTTTGTTGTTTTAATTTAATTAATTACATTTAGTCTATGATGGAGTATTTGATTATTAGCAATGCCACTAATAAGTTTTAAGTTGTCAGAAATTAATTGTAAACATCAGTACAGTACTCTCAGTCATGGCAAAGACAGTTATCCTAAGATAAATGGCTCATATTTTGGTGCAGTGTTTGATGTTCAAAACAAGACGTTACAACAATAAACAAACGTAAACTGAATGCATTTGACTCCTTCCTTCAGGAGACATTTAAACCATATTCTCTGTACTCTTGCCAGAAATTGATAATTTCCATAAATTAGCATTTTGATCTCTGCTGACACTAAAATTCATCTACAGAAAGGACCTCTTTTTGGTGCTTATTTTTATAAAACCTGACTCCAAAAGTGAGGCTACACTCCCAGGAACCAACCTCTCTGCTTTGTAGGTTCTGCCAGAGAATGATTCATTCATACATATGTAATTTCTGGTGTGTTCTCCCTGGCATCCTCTAGGCTGGGCTCCCCCACCAGCCCTCAGCCCGTCAGGGGTCCCCCAAGAGGCCTGCTCAGAGCCTTTGCCACCCCACCTTTCATGAAACCCTCCCTCCGGGTGAGTACCACTTAGCAGGTCTAATGTTCTCATCAGCCTAGGAGAGTCAAAGTGATCTTGAATCAAAAACCACACCCCACATACTACTTAATGGGTGTCTTATTATTCCCCCAAATTGCTGAGCTCTACCAGATGCAGCATGTACTGGACAGGTATCCCAAAGCCCTCCTTGAGAGCCTACTTTCAAGTACAGGAAAGCTTGTCCTGTCCTGCTGCTTTGCCTTGACAGGAGCACAGGGTGAGGGGACCCGGGGGTCTTTGGGGTGTACGTAGGGAACAGAAAGGATGCACTCGGAGGGAAGTTGACTGTAAAGGAGCCAGCTCCCAGTGCTTGGGGGTGAAGCAGCAAGGGCTCATCCCTGCAGCTCCTTAGAGTGGAGCCTGCCTTTTCCCTTCCCTTGATAGGACAGTGTAAGGGAAGAAGGAAGCATGTTCAGAAAGTGGGTGCAGATACACGTGAAGGCATGTTGTAGATGTGCAAGTGTGCGTTGATTCTGTCCCTCTGATCACAGACACTCCTTTCAAACCACTCGTGAGAAACCGCAGGAAAGATGATAGGGCCACTGAGAAAGCTCGATTAATGCGCTGTGGTGGAAAAAATTGCAGAAGGAGCCCTGATGTAGCTGTCATTCTATTTTATCTTGACGTAAACACAGGAGCTGCTGTAATTAGACTTCGTTTACCTTGCCAATCTTGGATACACAGAGCTGAAATTCATGTTTTTCAGTGAGCGAGGGTGCATTGAGAGAGGAGGACCACGCTTCACTCAGTGCTCTAGAGAACCAACCATGGAGCAGAAGGAGCAGTCACTGGCTCCCTTCTGTCTGGCCCCTGCCTTTCCGGCTGTTGAACATTTGTCCCCTTTGGCGCTAAAGTCTTTACAGAGGGTGTGAGGGAAAGAGGGCGAAACTAGGTCCATGTGCCAACTGGGTTTTCCTGAAAATGCTCCACTGCCTTGGGGTTTTTTGCACGAGTCATTTCTAGGACAGACAGACTCTGACAGCCACCTTTAGCCAATTCCCCAGCTGTAGAAACGGGGAAAGAGAATGCCCCCTCCCCTCACCATCAACTCTTAGAGAGATCCAGATTTTAAAGTTCTAAAACCACAAAGTGGCAGTTCTTGGTCACGTCTCCCTACCTGGGGTAAGGGAATGAGGAAGAAGGCTCCTGTTGGACCTGTCCAGTGGCCACCCTGTTACCGCATTTGCGAGCAGTCCTGGAAACTCACAGCATTTTTTTTTTTTTATAGCATAAGAGTATCCAGTGGCTTGATCTCAGGCCCAGGAGACTTCTCTGATCTGCATCTTTCCCTGGGGCTCTAGGGGACTTTTCTCCCCATGGGCACTTGATCGGCCAACAGATTTTACCAGCCTGTTGAGCAGGGACCACCTGAAGCTAAGGGTCCTAAAGGTTTCTGTGGCTGCTGATAAAGGAGCAACATGACTGGGCTTCCCTGGAACAGAACGAACTCTCCATGGGAAGATTCCTGCTTTTCTCCGATGATCTCAGCTTTCAGTCTGTGATCAGTTTTATGTTGGGCCTATTGTTGCCTGGGAACCCGAGAATCCTTAAAGCCACATGTGCTGTGAGCTGTGCAGCGAGCTCGCTCCTCAGCTCAGGCAGCTGCTGATTAGATGTGAATTTTAAGCATCCCCTAGAGGAGCCCCTCTTTGGCTAGAGGCATCACAGGGGGGCCTTGACCTCCAAGCCCATCTGGTTTTGTTTTGTTTTTTTAACAAGCAAAAAAAAAAAAACCACCAAGCGTGTAGCTTGCATAGTGAGGGGTAACAATTACATAGTTGAGATTGATTTCTTCAAGCTTACTTTCTACAGCCATTTTTTAAAAGTCAATTACCTTTCTGCTGTTTGCTTTTTAGCAACACCTCTCAATCCATATGGTACCAGAATTCAATAACTTACAGTGGTTTTACATCTTTATTGACACTCCCTGTCTTTGCACTTCCCATGTACAGGTCATTCAAGGAGCCCCCCAGGCTGCTCAGTCTCCCGGGCCAGCCCGCACCACGACCCCCAGTCTCTGTGACAGCACATGTGGCTTCAGCATTTCAGTGTTTAACCTTCTCTCCTGCAGGCTCTGGGAATAAAGAATGTGGCCACCAGCCCGGCGTTGCCGGCCACATCCCCTCCGCCCTGTAGCCCAGCAGCTCTCCCCTCCCGGCAGCAGGTCGCACTCCGCAGTGGGCATCCGATTGGTCCCGTGAGCAGAGCTGCTGCCGATGCGGTGCCAGAGCCAGTGGCCGCGGGATAGGGCAGACCCCGCTTCTCAGGTAGCCGGGCAGAACAGGAGGCCGTGGCCAGGCACATGTGTCCTTGCCACCCACCGGGGACGCTCAGGCGTGTGGCCTCGGCAGCCCCGTCAGGCCTGGATGTTGGGGAAGGTGTTGGGATGTTTGCAGGAAACTAGACCAGTGCTCCATACACACAACAGAAACTGCATATATTAAGGCTTCCTGGTTCTTAATGACTATCTTTCCCCAGCCACCCTAGAGGTGAGAAAGGAAAGGATATAAGAAGACCCCACTAAATGTGGAGTACATTTCGTCAAAGTCCGTGTGAGCCAACCGGCCCCCAGTCACCACGATGTTGACACCATCTCCTGCCTTCAAGTGCACGATGAGGTGGAACGCCCCAGGGCCCCCACAAGTGTGCAGAGGCCCCTGGGGCCGGTGGTATTCCAGGAACTCCCTCTTGTAGCCGGCTGTATGCAGCTGGGCCACACTGGCATTGGAGACCGACAGGACAGCTTCCACATACGCATCCCTCTCCGGCGTGAGGGTGGCCGTGATCAGGTAGCGCCCATCATATGGAGCCGTGAAGATGCCTGGGAGAAGGAAGGCAGATACTCCTGGGACACCATCACAGCACCTTTGGCACAGGTTGTCAGTTAACCCAGATTTGGGAGACTACCCATCTGTCCAGGACTGTCTCAGGAGAAAAACTGGGAGAGTTGGTCACCCAACCCATAGAGGTAAGGTAGCCCTTTTCTATTTGCAGCTGCCCTACCCCCACCAAGCAACAGACCCCCTTAGCTAGCACTGCTCTTAACAAACCCAGTCCTCATGGTGAGACCCCATCTTCTGCTGTAACATCCAGAAGAGAACAAATTCTACAAAACCCCCAGTACGCGGTACGATCACCGTAACTCCCCTCCACCCAGAGCAGCCCTCAGAAGAACTTGCCCCTGCAGCCGTGCAGCATGCACGGAGACAACTACCCAGCCTTGCTGGGAGAGAGCTCAGACCCTCTAACGTTCCCAGCAGCAAGATACACCAGCCTTCGTTGTGCTGTGTGTGCAGCACAGGCGTGAAGACACAAGGCCAAGGCCCAGCTTGAGGCCGGCTCCCACCTCCACCCGCCACCCAAGGTGTAGTGGAGCAGCAGCAGCCACCCAGGTTCTGGTTGCCATTTGGGAGTTTTCTCCAGGATGGAAAGCTCCCCAAGACCCACTTAGAATAAGCCTCACAACTTGTGTGCTGGGCCCAAAATCTACAAAATGGTTTGAGTTGCCTCCTGAGGAGAGGGGACCAAAAAGAACCCACAAAGCTTGTGGGAGAGACCACAGCCAGCCCTTACGCAGAAGAGCCAGGCTGCCTGTCTTGGACCAGTATACAGGTGGCATCCACTCATGGCCAGATATAAGCCAGGTTCTGGGCCTGGGGAAGCAGTGCTCAGAGGTACGGAGACGGCCTGAGGAAGAGGAGATGGATTTGTAGATGTACCATTTGCAAAGCGGCAACTGGCCCCAAACCCAGAAGAGTCAGAGCCCATCCGCAACGCAGGAGCAGCCACTTCCCTTGGGCTGTGGGGAGGGGGCTGGACGTGGACCCTGATCACAGGCCAAGAGTGACAGAACAGAGGGCCACCCCGGAGCTGAGAGGGAACCTCAGGGGCTGGGTCTTTATCTGCCCTGAAAAAAGAGCACGTGCCAGGCCACCCTGCTGTCTTCCCAGCTTTTAAGGGTGAGTTCTCCGGCATTCCACAGTCTTCCTGAGGGGCACCTGGACCCTGAAAACAGACCTGGTCCCAGCACTCTGAGCCCATGGCCTCTTCCCTCGCTTGGAGACTGCCTGTGCTGAATCCACACTCAGGATTCCCCAGAACTTCTTTTAATGAGGAACTGCTCAACAAGAAGATACAGTTCTGGGCACGTGCCAGAAATGGAGAAACAGTCCTGGAATGTGCCAGAAATGAAGCCACTGTCGACAAGCTGTTCCCACCACCAAGGCAGCATGGAGTGAGGGCCCCGGGAGGAGGCTGTACTTGCAGGGAAAGTAAAGGTCTCTGGAAGCTAAGATACGTCTTGCACCCCAGCCTACCTCTGTGCCTCAAGAGCAGGTCAAAAATACAGAGTCCTGGGGCCCCTGGGTGGCTCAGTCGGTTACCTGTCTGCCTATGGCTCAGGTCATGATCTCAGGGTCCTAGAATGGAGCCATGCATCGGGCTCCCCCTGCTCAGTGGGGGGTCTGCTTCTCCCTCTGCCCCTCTCCTCATGCTCGCTTGCTCACTCTCAAAAATATTTTTAAAGAAGCAGCAGCAGAGTCCTGAGCTTGACTTCAACTGGCCTGGAGGACACCGAGTTCCATTTTTCCAAGTTTTGCAGGT